AATGATTGGGCAGGTACAATTTATGCTAATCCTTAAAGATAGTCTGGCTATTTCCCAGCTACAAGCCCCAAGATACTTGCCAATATCCATCCTGTCTGAGTTGGATCTACTCCATCAGACCACTTATTTCTCTCCATTTTCCTCCTCCTTCTTCTTCTCTTCTGCCTAGTTATATGCTGTCCATCCTTTTTTTATTAACCAACCAGAGATAATTGGGGAGCAGAGTTTACACAACATTGTTCAGAGTATGTGACAATTCCCTTGTCCAGACTGCAGCTAGATCCTGGGACCCAGAATTTAGCATCTAAATACACAGCACCAGACCAACCCCAAACATATTATAATAAATTTTCTGAAGGAATAGTAAGTGCTTAAGGTTTTAACTAAATAAGCCCATTTTTACATTTAAGCATTTTTTAAAAGTAGTATGGGCACTTCAGGGTTCTCTGAAGAAACATAATTTTGAAAAAATATGCATGTGTACATATACATGTCTATATACATATATACAGAAAGTATATATATATATATATATATATATATATATATATTTATAAACATGTATATATAGAATGGTTTATCTGCTTTGGTCCAACTAGTATAACAGTAGCTGTCTACCAACATTATGTCTAAGAATTCAGTAGTTGTTTAGTCCATGAGGCTGGATGTCTTCGGTATAGGTCAGAATTTCAAAGAAGTAAGCTCTGTTGCCAGTGAAGGAATGGACTTACAATCAAGAGTAAGAGCAAGAAGGCAAAGAGAGCAAGCTTCCTCCTTCTATCAGCAGAAGGTGTGGCCCAGAATAAAGGTGTGTCTTTCCTACCTCAAAAGATCTGGAATTCAAGAGGCAGAGGCAGACCAGTCTTTGGAAGTTCTATGATAGCCAACACTACATTGAGAAACCCTGTCTAGAAAAGATCCAAGTTAAAAATGGGTCTTCCAGCTGGGCTTGGTGGCACACACTTTAATTTCAGCACTCAGGGCAGGCAGATCTCTGTGAGTTTGAGGCCAGCTTGGGTCTACAAAGCTAGACCAGGACAGCCAAGGCTGCACAGAGAGAAACCCTGTCTCGAAGAAAAATGGCTCTTGCTACTTCAAATGAAAAAAAAAAAAAAAAAATCCCTCACAGGTGTACCCAGCCACTTGGATTTTAGTTAATTCCAGCTGTAGTCAGGTTGACAATCAAGAATAGCCTTCACAGCCACCTTATGGAAGATCTGATGGAAAATAGGGAGCAATCACTTGTAATACACCATCAACATAAACATTCCCAGTACGTACAGACTTTGCGTCAGAAGCATAGAAAAATAACTAATGAGACTAGAGAAATGGCTCAGTGGTTAAGAGCACTGGCTACTCTTGATAGCTATTTTCAGCCTATAAAATGAGCCAATTCAAGCCAAATTGAAGTGTTTTTTTTTTTTAAGGTTTATTTATTTATACACAAGTGCTGTATTTGCATGTACACCTGCATACCAGAAGAGGGCATCAGATCACATGATAGATGTTTGTGAGCCAGCCATGTGGTTGCCTGAACTTGAACCCAGGACCTCTAAGAAGGAGCAGACAGTGCTCTTAACCACTGAGCATCTATCTCTCCAGCCCCCAAATTAAAGTATTTAAAGGCAGGTTTATTGAGGACAGCTCACAGGAGGAGGTAAGAGAAGTTGCAGAAGGAGACAGAAAGGCGGGGGAGGGAGCAGAGAGAAAGTGGATGTGCAGAGAGAGAGGAAAGAGGAAATGCAGAGAGAAGGGAACCAAAATGTCTGGATTATATAGTGAAGGGCCTCTGGGAGAGAGGAAGCCTAGCCTTTGGGCTGGCAAGTAGAGGGTAGAGGGCAGGTTATGCTGGCGATGTCCTGTAACAAACAAGTAGGGACTGAGGGCAATAATAGCTAACATTAGGCACTAGCTCCTGACTCAGCAGTGTTCTGGCGCTTCCACATTCATCCACTCAACCCTGCACATCCCTACAAGGGAGCTACACGAGTTCTGCACCATTCCAAATCACCCAGCTGGTCAGTGGCAAAGGTTGCAAACCTGTGTACTTCACAATCTGTACATTAGCAGCTAAAAGAAAGGGCAGATGATGAATTCCATTGTGACATTTCACACATGTATGTAGTGTATTTTGCAGATTCATACCCCATCAGCTCCTCTTGTCTCCTTTTGCATACCTTTAAAAAGATATCCCTGTGATACAGGTTTTGTATTCAAGAAGCTGGGTCAGCAGGATGGTCAGAAGCCCAAGTCCAACCTCAAAATTAAGGTGTGAAAAAAGTGCTAAGGGGAGATATAGCTCAGTTGAGAGAGTGCCTGCCTAGCACACAAGAAGTCCTTGGTTCAGTCCTTAGCACCACATATTCCAGGCAATTGGTGTACACATCTAATCCCCCCTGGTTCAGAAAGTGGAGATAACCTGGAACTCCTGACCCTCCCCCCTCCACCCATTAGAGTCTTGGATTACATGTATATACCAGAATACCTAGCTAATTTGCTGTTTTAAAAGCTGTACTGGCAGTAGGAACAAATGAATCTCCTCCTCCCCACCCCACCCCCCAAAAAAAACAATTATGGAACCAAAACTACTGTAGTAATAATAATAATTAAAAAAAAACTACTGTAGCTCCTTACTAGGTTCCTGGTCGTAAACTGAACATCCATTCTATTAGCTTTACATATTAAACTTTGACAGCTCCCCTGTTTCTTACTTTTTTTTTCTTATAATTTTTCTTCATAACTCTGCCAATGAATAAGAGAAGTAAAAGTTTTCAAAGGCCTTGCCAGTCCCCTTTCTTTGATGTTCTGTACTGAGAATGCTTAGTTTCCACATGGTAAATTTCCATGTGAGGGGCAGTATCAGGAAATGAATGGAAGTTGTAGTCACACTGGCTCTGGGTTATGAGTTGGGCCCGTCACAGATCTGAAGAGCTGTTAGAAGTAAATAAGGTGGTGGTGCTCTGAGGAGAAATAAAGCTGTAAGGTCATACAAAGCAATGGGATACAGTGTGTAGGATAGGAAGTAATGGTAGGCCAAGGCGTGAATGAAGCAAAGAAACAAACTATGAGGTTTGCTATGTAGAGCAGTCTATTAATGCCCTTTATCTGCCCTTCCTTCTTTCCAACAATAAATCCTCTTTTGGCCTAGACCCTAATTCCACTGATAATTTTAAGGCTGAGCCCAGGGCCTTTCTGTACTGTTTTGCAGTTTATATTATGCCTCTAGGGGGCAGTAGTCACCTGTGTAAATATTGTAGGTCTAACTACCTGGTATGACAATTTTTCAACAGATGGTAAAGTTTGTGAGAACACAGTAGCCATTTCCAATGTGTGCAAATGTAGAAATCTATTTTCTTTCTTTGTAAAGGCTTTTAGACTTATTAATTTTATTTATGTTAATGGTTTGCCTGCATTGTATGTATGTGTATTATGTGCGTGCCTGGTGCCCATGGAAGCCAGAAGAGGGCATCAGATCCCTTAGAAATGGAGTTAGAGACAATTGTGAGCCACCCTGTGGATGCTGGGAAGTGAACTCAGGTCTTCCTGAAGACCTAGCAGCCAGGGCTCTTAACTGCTGGTTCATCTCTCCAGTCTCCTGTTGATGTTTTACACTGGTACTTTTTAAGAATATAGATCAGGGGCTGGAGAATGACACAGCCATTAAAGGCTAGGCTCACAACCAAAAATATAATAATATAGATCAGTTATTCTGTAGAATATATATCTATAGATATAGATTTATTTATTTTTGTGGAGGCAAGAGTTTCTCTGTGTAGCCTTGGCTGTCCTGGACTCACTTTGTAAACCAGGCTGGCCTTGAACTCACAGAGATCCACCTGCCTCTGGCTCTCAGAGTACTGGGATTACAGGTGTGCACTACCACGCCCACCTTGTAGAATATTTCTCAAGTTGAGTTTTTTAGTTATCTTCTCTTTTCAAAAAAGTTATGTATTTGGGCTGGAATTCCATAGAAACAGTATTGTGTTTTTCTTGAAAGTGTCATATCCAGGATCACATATCAGTTTGTTGTGTTGTAATGTGGAGCCTCTCTGTGTTCTGTATTGAAACTACACTTACAGACACGAACTTTGAAATATATGTGCCTAAACTCTGACTGTAGGAATCGTCCTCCTGACCTCTCAGGTAGGTCTCCTGTTCAGTTTTCTTGTATAGTCTCAGTTCAGTCATGTGTACCTGAGTGGCACCCTGGTTTTCTATGATTTGTGGAACTCACTTTCCTATCAGAAATCATGAAACTTCTACTTTCTAGTAGAGTTTGTTACATTAGGTCATAATGCACTCTGTCTGCATTAGCCTTGAAACAGCTTTAGAGGGGAAGGAGAGAAAGAAAGGAAATTACCAAGACTCAGACTCCTTTTTTCTGTGTAGCCTTGCCTATCCTGGACTCCTTTTGTAGACCAGGCTGGCCTCAGATTCACAGTGATCTGCCCTGCCTCTGTCTGTCAGAGTGCTGGGACTATAGGTATGTGCCAAAGATTCAGACTCTTTATCTGTCCAACGTTAGAGGCCTTGTCCTTTTATTGTTTGTTTTGTTTTGTTTTGTTGCTTTGTTGTTTGTTTCTTCAAGAGAGGGTTTCTCTGTGTGTATCCTTGGCTGTCCTGGACTCATTTTGTAGACCAAATTGGCCTCAAACTCACAGAGATCCGCCTGCCTCTCCCTCCCAGAGTGCTGGAATTATAGGAATGCACCACCATGTCCAACTGGCCATGTCCATTTTTGTAAGGCCAGGCTGGGCAATGTAGCAAGACCCTGTCTCAAGAATAAAAACAGTATGGTCAGGTGTGTATCACAGGCCTGCAGTCACAGCTCTTAAGAGATCAGGAGTTCAGGGTTGCACTACAGAAAATAGCCCAAAATAGCAAAACCAAAAATAAAGAGGAGACCAGGATACTAGGGAGATAGATAGCTCAGACAGTAAAGTGCAGCACAGGCAGGGTGGTTCTGGATTCTCTAACTTCTATTTCCTCTCTCTCGGCAGTGCGTGATCTGATTTTCTGGAGAGATGTGAAGAAGACTGGGTTTGTCTTTGGCACCACGCTGATCATGCTACTCTCTCTAGCAGCTTTCAGTGTTATCAGTGTGGTCTCTTACCTCATTCTGGCACTTCTCTCTGTCACCATCAGCTTCAGAGTCTATAAGTCTGTCATTCAAGCTGTGCAGAAGTCTGAAGAAGGCCATCCATTCAAGTAAGTTTGCTGAGATTGCTCAGGTCTGAAGTTCTAACCTGCCTTTTACAGCTGATCAATGGCAGAAACATGTCCTAAATACCTTGCAATCACCCTAACAAGTGATCAAGTTAGTATGAGAGAGCTTTTTTGGGGGTTTGGGGGGACAGGAGGTTGGTTTTTTGAAATAGGGTTTCTGTGTATAGCCTTGGCTGTATTGAAACTCACGCTGTAGACCAGGATGGCCTCGAACTCAGAGATCTGCCTGCCTCTGCCTCCTGGAGTGCTGGAATTAAAGGTGTGAGCCACCACCTGACTGAGAATGTTTAACTAATTAGAGGCTCACACTTAAGGCTAAAGCTCCCTGCAAATTGTGAACAGGGCATGGAATAGCTTGCCCAGGGCAGCCTGCAGTCACCCAGAAACAGCTTTACATTTCTAGTTCTGGAACCAGTTTACTCTGTGTTTTTTCTGAATTTTATTTCTGATTTACTTTAGCTCTAGTGTAGTTTCTCTGGGTCTGGGGAAATTATTTTTAGCCTTTAAAGTATTGTTTATGGGGCTGGAGAGATGGTTCAGCAGTTGAAAGCACTGACTGCTCTTCCAGAGATACCGAGTTCGGTTGTCAGCAACTGCATTGTGGCTCACAACCATTCATAGTGGAATCTGATGCTCTCTTTTGTCATGTAGGCACACATGCAAATAGAGCACTCATCTACATAAATAAATGTAAAAATATATTGTTTATATATGTGAGTGTTTTCCCTACAAGTGTGTCTGTGCAACATATGTGTGTTTTGTCCTTGCAGGCCAAAAGAGGGCATCTGGTCCCCTGGAACTAGAGTTACAGGTTGTGAGCTGCCCTGTTGAGTGCTGGGAATTGAACACAGGTCTTCTGGAAAAGCAACCAGTTCTCTTAGCCACTGAGCCATCTTTCTAGCCCTATCTAGAGACAGATTTCAATGCCTTTCTGGTTGTGCTGTAACGTTAACAAATGGTTCCTCGTGTTTGTGCTGTTGAAAATCTTTGCCCATAAAAATTTGTATTTGAGCTTTAGAAACCTAAAAACCCTTTATGTTTAGAAACTTTAAAAACCCTTTGTTTAATAAAAAGAGCCCCTGCTGTGACCTCCCTAGAATAGCTACTGGCTCCCTGATGGAACTTGTATTTTCTGTTGATAGAAATAGAAAAAGTAACTTCAATTCCCAGCAACTACATGGTGGCTCACAACCATCTATAATGAGATCTGGTGCCCTCTTTTGGCATGCAGGCATACATGCAGACAGAACATTGTATATATAATAAGTAAATAAATCTTAAAAAAAATTTTTTTAAAGGTAACTTAAGTCATATGTGTCTTTAAAATTCTATTGTAAGTTAATTTTAGTGAACCAATAGTTGTTGATTGAATGAATGAATACGTTTTTACAAGCTCAGATGTCTTATTTTTTTTCCTCAGATGTCTTAACAAGTCTTTGTGTCATTTCTATGACGTTATAAAATGTTTTTACCAAATTATATTAATTGCAACATCTAGGTTTTGTTTGTCTGTTTGGTTGGTTTATTTTGTTTTTTGGGGGACAAGGTCTCACTGTGTCGCCATGGCTGGTCTGGAACTTACTATGTAGACACAGCTGCCCTGAAACTTACAGAGATCTGTCTGCCTCTACCTTCACACCTGGAAACATGCAGTGTTTAAAACTTTTATTTGAAGGTACATTCTTAATAAACAGGCGGAAGAACTCATGCCTCTCACTCTCCTGCTCGTCTTCAGAGCTGACAAGCAGTGTACACTCGGTAGTAGTCAATGAGCAGGGTCACATCTCAGAACAACGTGGCCAGCATGGTGACACACACCTCTGAGAGGCCATGGCAAGCAGATCTCAGTTCAGGCCAGCTTAACTATATAGTAAGTTCTAGGTAATCCAGGGCTATGTAGTTGAGACTCTTTCTCTGCCTATACCCCCCTCCCGTTTTTGTTTTTTGTTGTTGTTTTCTTTAATCTCAACCTCAGAGAACAGAAAACTGTGTGTCTAGTTTCCAACCCTAGTGTATTCATGATCTCTACCCTCCCATTTTTTTTTTTTTAATTGGGGATTGAACCCAGGACCTTATACATACAAGGCAAGTGCTCTGCCACTGAGCTATAGTCCTAGCTTTTCTTTTTTCTTTTAGTTTTTGTTTTGGTGGTTGTTGTTTGAAACAAGGTCTCTATGTAGCTTTGTATTTTCTGGAACTTACTGAGACAGGGTCTGAGGCAGCAAGATGCTCCGCATGTGGAGGTGTTTACCTCTAAGTTTGACCATTTGAGTTCAATCCTGCCACAAGCTGTCCTCCGATCTCTATATGTGCACCATGGTGTGCTTGCACAAACACACACACTGTTTTAGTCAGTGTCCTGTTGCTGTGAATAGACAACATGACCATGGTAATTCCTGTAAAGGAGAACATTCGTTTGGGACTGGCTTGCAACAGAGACTTAGTCCATTGTTATGCAGCACGCAGGTGGACACGGTATTGAAGAGGCAGCTGAGAGCTCTCCATCTGGATCAGCTGTCCCCACAGATTTCTAGAATGACAGTTTCATCCTCAAACACCACTGTGCTCTTGAAGATGTTCCCCTGCTGTGTCACATGTGTGACTATGTTTTTTTCTTTCTTGGAAGGGCTTACCTGGATGTGGACATTACACTGTCCTCAGAAGCGTTCCACAATTACATGAATGCTGCCATGGTGCATGTCAACAGAGCCCTCAAACTCATTATTCGCCTCTTTCTGGTAGAAGACCTGGTTGACTCCTTGAAGGTTAGTTGCTGGGCTATAAATCAGAGGTAAAATGGGGCATATAGGATTTTATCGGTCAAGAGAAAGTCTGTAACAGAGAGATAGGTTTCAGCAGAAAAAGCTACCACCTCCCTCTGGAGAGCAGCGTTGGACCAGCAGTCACAGCTTAGCACCTGTACTTACTAATCTCTTTTCGAACCCAAGACAGTGAATTTTCTGACTGTAAAGGCAAGTGGGGGATCTGTGTCATGCAGCCTTGCATTGATGCAGACCTAGTTAGCTTCAACTCTATGTTATCTTTATTCTTATTTAACCCTCTGACATTGGCTTTCACAGCTGGCTGTCTTCATGTGGCTGATGACCTACGTTGGTGCTGTTTTTAATGGAATCACCCTTTTGATTCTTGGTAAGGTGACAAGGAAAGTTTGTCTATGCACTTCATTTCTTGAAATAGTCTGTAAGACTAAGTGTAAATTCTGATCCAGATGGTACAGACCTATAATCATAGCTGTTCAAGAAGCTCAGGTAGGGGGATCAAACCTGCAAGGCCAGCCTGGACAACGTAATTAAGACCCTGTCTCAAAAATTAAAAAAAAAAAAAAAAAAAAAAGAAAAGAAAAGAAAGAAAGAAAAGGCTGGGGAGGTCAGACAGGATGGTGCATACCTATAATCCCAGCACTAGACAGATGGAATCAGGAGGATCAAGAATTCAGCATCATGTTAAGCTTTATAATGAGTTCATTTAGGACATATGAGACCCTCAAAACAAAACAAAAACACAAAAACCAACAACCTTATCCCAGGGTTAGAGTGCTTGCCTAAAGAGCACACACACACAGCATGACCAGGTATTCCACGTGGCCGACATGTGCTATCTATAGAGAGTATGCTGCGTGTTGACGTAACCTTCGCTTCTGGCTGGCAGTTTCTTAAATGGTCTCACAAGGAAGTCTCAAAGCACCTGTGAATAAAGAAGCATGTAGCTCTGGTTTAAATGTGGGGACCTTGCTTTTAGACACCACTGTATAGTTTAGAAGTTAATATCTGTTGCACAAAGAAAACAACCTATTTGGGGTTTTTAACACTACCCTGATCTGCTGTCTCCTGGCTATCCTCAGTGGGGAGAGCTCTTGTTGGCTAGCAATTTTAACCAAATCAGTGAGTTCTAGGTTCAGTGAGAGACTGAACTGTCTCAAAAAAAAAAAAAAAAAAAAAAAAAAAAAAAAATAGAGGGCTAGGCATGTGGCTTCGTTGGTAAAGTACTTGCCTAATATGCACAAGGCCCTGGGTTATGAGCCCTAGCACCACATAATCAGTCTCTTTCTGATTGTTTACTCTGCTTCATGAGGAAATGTCTGCTGCCTGAGTCTCTCACATTTGCACTTGCCCTGTTTTGATTCTGTCTTACAGCCGAGCTGCTGGTTTTCAGCGTCCCAATTGTCTATGAGAAGTATAAGGTAAGCATTTGTCTGGAAGAAGATATGCTGGGTAGTGGTGACTGGCTTCAATGCATTTTAAGGAAAGTAAGAAACAGAAAGCAAGAGAGGCGTAGGGTAAATGTTCTGTGTCATGGTGATGAAGTATCCATTGCAAAAAAGAAAGGTAAGAAGATGCTTTACAGTAAAAGCTGAGCTTCTAAAAACTACACTGCACTTGCAAGGAAATGTTAGTGTGACCAGAGGCCTGCATTGTGAGCTGAGTAGATTAGCTACCTATCAGAAGACCTTTTGGGAGAGCCAGGGAGATGGCTCAGTTGATAAATGTTTGTCACACAAGCATGAGATCCAAATTCGTATCAAACACCCACGTAAGAATGCCTGGTGTTGCAATATACACCTGCAAACCTAGCCCTGGGAGGATTGCCCTGTGGCCCTGTGGCTTGTTGGCCAGCCATTCTAACCAAAGCAGTGAGTTCTAGGTTCAGTGAAAGACTGTACTATCTCAAAAATAAAGGCCTGGGAACACAGCTTTGTGGCACATGCCTGTAATCCCAGCACTCAGGGAGGCAGAAGCAGGCCTGGTCTACAAAGCAAGACCAGGACAGCCAAGGCTACACAGAGAAACCCTGTCTCAAAACAAAACAAAAAATAGAGGGCTGGGGATGTAAGTTAGTTGGTATGGTACTTGCCTCATATGCACAGAGCCCTGGGTTTTGAGCCCTAGCACCACATAAAGCGTATTTATAGCGCACACTCAAAGTCCTAGTATGTCAGATGAGCCAGGAAGATCAGAAGTTCAGGTTCGTCCTTGTCTGCAGAGTAAGTTGGAGGCCAGCTTAGGCTACATGAGACCCTGTCTTTAAATTAATTAATTAGTTAATTAATAACAAGGCATAGAGGGCCTGGAGAGATGGCTCAGTGGTTAAGAACACTGTTCTTCCAAAGGATCAAGGTTCAACTCCCAGCACCTACCTGGCAGCTTAAAACTGTAACTCTAGTTCCAGATGGTCTGACATCCTCGCACTAATGCACATAAAATAAAATTAAATAAATTACTTTAAAAATAAAATAAGGCATAGAGCAATTGAAGAGAAACTTTATATCAAAATTTTGCCTCAGGGCTGGAGAGATGGCTCAGAGGTTAAGAACACTGGCTGTTCTTCCAAAGGTCCAGAGTTCAATTCCCAGCAACTATATGGTAGCTCACAACCATCTATATGAGATTTGGTGCCCTCTTCTGGTGCACAGGCATACATGCAGGCAGAACACTGCATAAATAATAGATAGATAGATAGATAGATAGATAGATAGATAGATAGATAGATAGATAGATAAAAAGAACCTTTAAAAAACTTTTTTGCCTGCACAGATACATGCACACTCATACAAGTATGCACACACATACAAACAAAAAATATGTTTGGCTTTTTAGTATGAAATGAGTTAATCATCATACCCATGAGCCATAACATATCACAACTGTAGAATATAGATAAGTGTGCAGCTTCTGGTACTCAGAAGATGTACTTCAGTATTGCTAAAGGAAACAGCACACAGTCCTACTTCTACTGCTACTGATTTTTATTTAAAGTGTTTAAATTAAAATCTAATAACATGGATTTGTAACTCTTTGAAAAACTGGACATGATTTTTATTTTCCAGAATAGTGAACAGTGAATAGGATTTTTTTTAAATATTCACACTAAATAGGAGAACTATGCCTTTTCCAGGGAGGTTAGGATATTATCAGAGTACATTGTGTGAAAAGTTTTGAAATTTATAAAAAGGCCCTCAAGAAAATTCTCAGCCCTTTGTTGCCCAGCTAAGTCTTCCTTCCTTCCTTTCTTAAAGACGCAGATTGACCACTATGTTGGGATTGCCCGGGATCAGACCAAGTCGATTGCTGAAAAGTAAGTATACTTAGGGATCACGTTTACTATTGTCCATGTGTACTCCTTCGCCATCATTTTTAGTCTCTTACGTAAAAATGTCAAAAGTGAATAAAACCTTAAAAAGGTGCCAGGCACAGTGACACACCCCTGTAATCTCAGCACTCAGGGAGACAGTGGCAGATGGATCTCTGAGTTCGAAGCCAGCCTGGTCTACAAAGCAAGTTCAGGACAGCCAAGGCTACACAGAAACACTCTGTCTCAAAAAAGCCAAAAAACAAAACAAAACAAAACAAAAATTTTAATAGTTTTGTTTTACTAATGTTAAGAAGCATCTTTGGGTTTTGTGGTGGTGCTTAGAGACAGGGTCTTGCTGTGTAGCTCACACTGACCTTAAACTTAATATTCTGTATACTCCAGCTCTGAAGAAAGAAATGATCAACAGAAATACATTGGCTGTCAAATTTTTTTGGTTATTTAACCCTATTTTATTTCCATATGCATCCAAGTTAACGCAGTGTTTTCTGTCTTTTTTTGTAAGTAAATAAATGTAAAACTTAGCCGGGCATGGTGAGGCATGCCTATGATCCCAATACTCTGGGAGGCAGAAGCAAGCGGATCTCTTTGAGTTCCAGGCCAGCCTGTCTACACAGAGAAACCTTGTCTCAAAGGGGAAGGGAGAGGCGGAAAATAAAACAAAACAAAAATAATGTAAAACTTAGATCCTGGCATTGTGGTGAACACTTTGTAATCCCAGTACTTGGGAGGCAGAAGCAGGTGGGCTGTGCAGTGAGAGCCTGTCTGAGAAAACAAACAAACAAAAATCCCTGTTTTCTTTTTTTTTTTTTTTTTAAGATTTATTATGTATGCAGTATTTTGTCTGCATGTACACCTGAAGGTCAGAAAGAGGGCACCAGATCTCATTATAGATGGTTGTGAGCCACCATGTGGTTGCTGGGAATTGAACTCGGGATCTCTGGAAGAGCAGCTGGTGCTCTTAACCTCTGAGCCATTTCTCCAGCTTCCCCCACCCCCAACAAACACCCCATTTTCCTTTTTAAAGTACTATAAAATATCATGAAATCTTTATCTGATTCTGTGAATCAAGGAGCTGCTTTTATTTTTAATTGTTCATAGCAAGATGAGCCCAGCACTGATTTAGAATATTCCCTTTTTTTCTATGTTTTATTCATCTGTTCAAGAAGTGTTACAACTGTTCACTTGTACCTTTCACACTTCAGGTATTAGTGTCTTTTCACGTTATCAAGCAGCTGAATGGATTAGGAGCATAGTTTAGTAGTAAAGCATTCACTTAGTGTACGTGGCCCCAGATTTCCGTTCACACTGCAAAAAGAAGAAACTGAATGTATATCAGGCAGCGCAGTCTTGATGCCACAATCCTCAGCTGAATTGTTTGCTTTTTATGGTACACTCACACTAACACCAGGTTGAAGGCATGCATAGATAAGTGGTACTGTTCACCAACTCCACTTTGTTGGTGAAAGGTAGTTGAGTGCTAGCTGATGTGTGTAGTCCTCCTGAGACCTCACATTTGTGGAGAGTGGCTTTGACATCAGTGAAGGCTTGAATGACCGCTTCACCAGACTAAAAGGCAGCTTTGATGTCCTCTTGCCAGACCTTGTTTAGAGAATCAAGAACCAACCAGCCATGTCCTTTTCACACATCTTTGTCTTGTTGACTTGTCCATTCCTTTTGGGCATGTCTTTTTTTTTCTTTTGTGCTTCACAGAGTGAAAGAAATGGACTCTCACATTGCCCTACCAAGAGGATCCCAGTGAAGGACCAGGGGTCACTGTAGTGAAATAGGATCAGGCCCTGCAGTAGGGCAGTGTGGTGGGAACCCTCAGGCTTGTTTCATGCAGAGAACAGCGAAGCCATACCCAACTTTGCCCATTCCTGAGGAAATACAAACCTAGAACAAATGTACATTAAAAACAAATATTTTCAGATTTTTTTTTTCTTTCTTCAATAGGATCCAAGCAAAGCTTCCTGGACTCGCCAAAAAGAAGGCAGAATAAGTACATGGAAACCAGAAGTGCAACAGTTACTAAAACACCATTTAATAGTTATAACATCATCACTTGTACTATGAAGGAACTTGCTGTCAGCTTGAGCTTGGTTCCAAGTTGTTTGTTCTTTTTAATTTGGTGTTCTCTCTCCTCCTCTTCCTTTACCCTCAGTACCAAGCACAAGATGTGTTAGACTGAAAAAAGAACTGATCTCTTAGAACCCCAAAAAATAAAGAGTGAATCAGATTAATAGAATTAATCAGACCATTGTGGTGGCGGAGCTTTTACCTGTACCATGAAAGGGGAAAAAGAAGAGAGAAATGTCTCTAGGGTCCTCTATCCAGTTTCAAGGACTCGTATACAGCTCCCATTTATAATTTTGCCCTTATTTTTAAGTTAGTAAATAATGATTAACTATGAATGAATAGTTTGGGCAGGAGTGGGATTTCTTCCATTGGGTTTGTACAGCCCTCCAGTCCCACCTTCCTGCCTTACACCTAAACAGCTACTCCTGCTGTTCCTCCTCTTCCTTAATGAAAGAACTGTCAGCTCTGAATAACCTACAGGTGATAGAGGTAATTCCCTGTTTCCAGGATGTTATCTGAGAAATACAGGGGGAGGGCAGCGGCCACCCCCTCTGTTGCAATTTCTAGGGAAGGAAGGGCTCTGCCAGCTGGGAGGGCAGTGTCCAAGCCATTGGTCTGAGATACCAGTGTGAGTGTTGGTTTGAGAAATCATTCCAGAATGTGCTTTTCCCTTTTTTTCCCTGCCCACCTTACCTCAAGTTTAATAAATATGGTTGTACTTTTCTTATTATGAAAATGTCTGTAACTGCTGTACACTGCTATAAACTTGTTAAAGAAAAATATTCTGCATGTGGGCTCCCAGCCATTGAGTTATTGTAATCCTATCTCAGTTTGTGGGGAATGAGGTACAAGAACATGAAAAGACTTCCTTCTGTATCTTCCCTGCTGCTTCCTTCTCCACTGCTGCTTCCACCTGTGCTTTGCAATGCTTTAGCCTGAGGACCAAAGTCCCACTGGCCAAGAGTCATGTTTCTATTGTGGTCCAGAGGTTGGTAGAGGAGGTTACATTTCTAGACTCATGACAAGTAGCTGCTTTGAGAGTAGAATCAGTGTTGTCCTGGGGGAATCTCCAAGTCAGACACTGATGAAATAGTTCCCACCATGGCCCACAGTGCTCATTTGTGGAGTGTTTTCCAGAAGTTTTTGGTTGTGGGTGGCCAGGCAAGACCAGGTGATACTGATAGACAATAGCAGAGGTGACTGGGGATCTTGATTTCTGAGACCCTGCGTCTCTCCTGCAACATGGAGATCCAGTCAGCTTGAAAACTGGCATTCAAGATTTCCTTCAGTTCTCAGTGCTGCCTATAGTGAGGAAGTAAGAGCTGGGGACTTCAGGGTATTTAATGTTCACAAAGTTCTGTGACTGTAAAATTAAGAATGGAATCTCTTTCTGCTCCTTCTAGGAAATGATTTACTCCGTTTTCTTAGTTTCTTTGCCCCTGTTCATTCTGAATTTTTGGTTTCCATTGTAGAAAACTCTCCATCGCCATCATCTTCTGCCCTCCCAGGAAGTGAATGCACTGGTGGTCTTTGGGGCCTCCCAACAGGGGGCTCCATTCTGCACTGGAAGCCCCCACATCTTGCTCTTTTCTTTGTTGCTGCTGTGTTAAAATAATTGGAAAGATTTTTGTGCCACATGGGATTTTTTTTTTTTTAAGAAAAACATAGATGAAAAAATTACTAATGAAAATGTGTACGTGTCTGTACGTGCAACATAAAAATACAGTAGCATCATGGAGCTCTTTTGGTCCCTGTAAAACTGCAAATTGATGTATTAATTATAAATAAAGAACACAGTGACTGTCTCATCAGTCTGCGACTTTATTCTTTGTACACAGTTTGGGTGAAATGAGAGCAAAAGGCTTTCACTTCAACCCTCATTCCGGAAACTTTCAAAAAGAACTCCCAAGATTGCAAGGATCCCCATGGCACTGAGCAAGCACAAGCTGTACTTGGTTTCTAAAATGAAGTTAGAGACCCTGTAAGATGACTGGAGTGAAAGGGTCTAGATCAGCCTCTCACCAGCCTGGGAATGGGAAGGGTCCCCACTTGCCACAGGAAGCAGCCTATAAACCACATGAGCCAAAAGCTGAGCTGGTCATGGCATGTCTGGTCTGACATCAGAACCCATCTGACTCACTCTGCCCCAAAACTAAGTTGGTTGTGATCCAAAGGGCTGGACTTTTTGAGATTTTATTCAACATACCTCTCGGGAAAAACTTAGGCTGAAATACTTTTTAAATGACTGATGCAAACAACTTCACAAATACACATACAAATGTCTGAATAGTGTCACTAAGTAACATGGCATATAAATATGTGTCCGGAGTAACATTTACATATGGGCCATAATAGCAAGCATACCGTTAACAAAACAATGAAGGGACTTTGCCTGTTTGTGTCCGAATCCCGAGGGAGGAGACCCACCAACCCCTTGACCCTTGGGGCCATAGGTCCAGTCATGGCAGAATCATTGCAGAGGTACTTGCCGGACAACCACCTTGGGGAGCTGCAGCTTGTACGGGAAAAGCCTATCAAAAACGTAGTGTGGGTCCTACCCTTTTCAGTAACCAGGTGGACCCAAGGATTTCTGTCTCCAGCAAGTGCTTAAGAGATGATGCTAGCTTGGGTGCTACTAAAACCTGTCCCAGATATCCTGAACTTCAACAGTGAGCTCTGGCAATGACGATCAGCAGCTCCAGTTTTGCCTTCTGTTTCTAAAAGGTGGTGTAGAGGTGGGGGAAAAAAAAATACTCAGTTTAAATACATGCATGATGGAAAGCAAAAAAGGTAGGTGCACAGCCTGGCACCATAATTTCTATTCTCAAGATTTTAATACTGTCTCCAAAACCTGGCTGGTCAAAACTGGAATTTCACTGAGCCAGCAGCCATTCCAGATGGCCTTAAAACAAGCACAGATAAGCAGCCTTATTTCCATTGGGGAAACCTGGGCGGAGGGGAGGTAGGCCCCACGTGGAGTTCTGATCCACAGGCCTGCGCTGCTGGAAGCTGCCTGCACCCTCACTCCCAGGAAGCGCCGTGCTTTTCTCCCCTCGGGAGTCACAAGTGCTGTGCGACTGCAGTGCCCAGCGCACTACATCTTGGCCGCCTGAATAGGTAAAGGGATCTTGGTAACTTGCCAGATTGGATGCAGTGCAATCTAGTGCAAAGCTCACTGAACTGGGAGTTGAGATATTTTTTATTCTAGTTTTTGACCTGTTCTTAGCTAAGAATTTCCGGGGTTTGGAATTTTGCCCCTCTCTCTGAAAGGGATCCTTTTGTGATCTCCAGGGTCCCTTTTTACTGACAATCTTGAGTTGTATAAAAATGCTATAAAATCCATGGTATAAAATCAAACTCTTGATCAGATCAGGAAGTCTGGGGAACTGGGCCTGAGGCACTTGAACCCTGAGCTCTGGCTCTGGCGGGTGAGAAGGAACTTCTTTTGCTTGTTTTCTCACCACAAGGGCTGCACTGGCCCCAGAATCCAGGGCCCCTCTCGTGCCCCAGCTCCTGATCACCGCACCCTGACTTTAAAAGGTGGGCACAGTGCCTGCAGTGCCTTCCCTCTGTGAAGAGCAGACACTGAACCTAGAGACAATAGGCCAGGGAAACGTGGGGATATTTAGTATCCTCCCAATCCCCTCAGCACACTCCATTTCTGTCCTTCCTCCACCATCTCACAGCTTATCTCTGATACACGCAATAATAAATAAGACATTTGCACATAAGGGTGATTGGGCCAGTTCCCCTCTCCCCTTCATATAAAAAGCATTAAATACAGTTTCAAAATAAAATACAAAGAGCAAAAAAAAGGGCCTGATCTTCGGACCACCTGTTCTCCACAGGAGAAGGAAATCTACACATCCCTCTTGGACCTGCCTGGGAGATTGAGGGGCCCTTCAGGCACCACGGGGCCTGGCGCTGTCTCAGTAAAGAGCAAGAGAGGCCGAGGCCCGGCCTCAAGCCCTGGGAGCTGAGAACTAATTAGTAGCGTGTCCACAGAGGACAATTCACGTTCAGAAGGAGCAGTAATAGCGACCAACTGCCCCGTGCCCCGGGCTAGAACAGTGCTGCCGCTGGACCAAGCGGGCTCCTGCTGCTTCACCGTGTGGGTTACAGAAGCCCTCTGAGTAGGAGGGCCTAAGGAAAAAAAGTGCTAATCCTTTTATGACCCCGGTCCTGAAGGCGTGGCAGCGGCCCAGGAGGGGTGCGCTGTCCCCTGGGCCAGCCCGGGAAGCTGGCGAAACCGACTGGGCCCTACCGCTCCGCCCGCACCCCGACCCCTGCTCAGGCCCAGTCCACAGCCTGGGCCTCTGAGAGGCCAAGAATACCAATTTGGACCCCACCCCAGCAGCCCGGAGCCGAGAGCCACGCCTGCTGGCGTGTGAGGCCGCATAGAACTGGGCCCCCGGCCAGGGCAAGCGGCCAGCGCGTCCTTCCTGACTTTCCTGCGCCCTGCCTTCAACCCAAATACTGACTGTCGGCGCCCCAACCCGGGCCTGGCAGCCCTGCGCCCTCGGGCGCGACCGGGAGAGCTCGCTGTGAGCAGTGGGGAGGCGCTCTGGCTTTTCCGGAGTAGCACCGCACGGAGAGCGCCGGGAGCCCCGCGCCAGTTCGCGCCAGAGACTCCGGACTAGCTAGCACAGCAATGTCACCGAGGGATAGCAGCGGCACCACCCCAACCCCGGCCCTGCCCGGCCCTGCCCGGCCAGCGGGGGGGCCCAGCGCCAGCCATCAGGGTCTCTCAGCTCGAGGGCCAGGCTAGCGCAGGGCGAGTGCTAAGCGCGACACACTGCGCCGGTCTTGAGGTCCGCGCCGCCGTCCCGCGCCGCCGGGGCGGGTGGTCCGAAGCCCTCGTGGCCGTAGCAGCGCAGTGCCGCCTCCTCGTACGCCTCCAGGATGGTCTGGCGCTCCTCCGGGGTGAAGTCCATGGAGAAGGGATGCACCTGCAGAATGTGTCGCTTGATGGTGCTCACCTTGAGCGTGGCCAGCGCGCCCCCGCACACCATGCACACCAGGCCGCGGCGGCTGCCGTCGTAGTCCATTAAATACTCGCCCCGCCAGCGCGGCTGGTAGTTGCGCCGCTGCTCCCGGCTGCGCGGCGGCGGCGGCGGTGGTGGTGGCGGCGGCGGCAGTGGCAGCGGGGGGAAGGCCAGCCCCCCGGACTCCTGGCCGTCATCGTCATCCTCGTCTTCCTCGGCGGGCCGCTCCGACGAAGCTCCAGGGGACAGCGGCGTGTCGCCTGGAGAGGAACAAAGGGCTGCCTTGGAGCTAGTGTCAGGAATCAGGCCCAGTCCCTGCTCTCCATTGGCCCTGCCGTCCCGTCCTCCCAACTCTCCCTACAGCCTTCCACTCTCACCACCCTGCCCTCCGAGCCCAGCCCGCTCTCCCTCGCCAGCTGCTCTGGCCCTCCACAGGCTCACCCCACCACTCCTCCTCTGGCTCCGCCTCCTCTGCCCCTCCCCCCTCCTCAGACGCTGAGGCTGCGCTGGGGGCGACAGGGCCGCTGGGTGACTCCGGGCTGGGTAGCCCCAGGGCCAGCAGGTGTGCGGCCTTCTCGCTCCACTCCTGGGCGATGAGGGCCTTGACTGGCCCGCTGAGGCTGTTGGAGCCCGGGTGGCGCTGGCGGATGTGTCGCTTGATGGTGCTCATCTTGAGCGAGGCCAGCGCGCCCCCGCACACCATGCACACCAGGCCGCGCCGGCAGCCGTCCAACTCCATGAGGTACTCCAGCCGCCAGCGCTCCTGGTAGTGGCGGCGATGATCTCTGCCCCTCCTCGGCCGGCCCTGGTTGCCCGCCCTCTCGCCCTCGCCCTCGCCCTCCTCGGCCTCCTCCTCCTGCTCTGCCGGCCCGGGCCTCTCAGGCACCCAGCCAGCCTCTTCCTTTACGTCTGGGGGGCTGAGATCCTGAGAGGAGGGGGCTCCAGCAGCGGGGGCGGAGTCCCGGCTCTTTCTGGTCAGGTCCTGGGGGACGAGGTCATCGTCTGTTGGGGAAGGGGTGAAGGAGAAGGGCTCAGCCTGCTAGCTGGGTTGCCCATACCCACACAAGAGGCCTCCATCCTTGCTCCTCACCCCAGCCCCAAGCTAGCCGGCCCCAGCCAGAGAGAGTGGGGTGGGGAGTTGTGTGTCTGTGTGTAAAGGGAAAAGAGGCCTGCATCCTTCAACCGAAAGTCCCTGCCTCCCATTTTGGTTTTCAGCTCCCATGCTGCCGCCCTAATATTGAAGGGATCTCAGCCCTGGGACAGCCTCGCACCTGGTGAGGGCTGGGTGAGCTCGGACAGAGCCTCAGGCTGGTCACCCCAGGCCTGCAGCAGGGCACTGCGCTGGGGGCCACTGAGCCCTAGGGAGCTGGGGTGCACCTCCAGCACGTGAGCACGGATGTCGTCCAAGTGCAGGCTGGGCAGTGCCCGGCCGCAGGCCATGCACACCAGCCGATTCCCCCGTGGGTCGTAGTCCATGAGACACTCGGCCCGGAACCAGTTCTGCAGGGACTCCTTCAGCCTCCGCTCCAGGCGCCGGGACCCCAGACCCCTGCTACCCCCAGGCCTTCGGGAGGCTGCCAGGCGCCGGCGTCGAGGTGCCACTGGGCCCCCTCGTACCCCTCGCCGCTGGCGCCGGCAGCCCCCACCAGCTGGGGCTTTGCCTGAAAGGGTTGGAGGGAAGCAACTGAGTCTCTGGCCCCCACCACAGCCAGATGCTCCACACACAGCCTCTTTCTCACTCAACTCTGACACAGGTCCCGTGGATGATCTACGCCTGTCTTTTCCTCTCCTCTCACTTCTGTTTTGTTTTTATTTAGACAGAAACTCAGATAGCCTAGGTTGGTTTCAAACTCCCCATGTGGCCAACGCTTGTCTAACTATTGGTGCTCCTGCCTCCGCTTTCCTGGCACTAGGGTAACAGGCTTGTGCCACCATACCCACTGCTTTCACCTTAACCCCTCTCCCTAATCTTCCTGTTCATGCACTCTAAGTCTCACCCAGCCTCCCTCAGCCCAGATTTCAGGCCCTTCCCCGGGCTTCACCGTTCCAACACCACACCCCATTTCCCTCAGCAACTCACAGCCCTTTCTTCAACCTAGTCCTCCCACCCCTACTACTCCTCTTGCTCCTTCTACTGCACACTGTCAAGGCCTCACGGATGCTGGAAACTGTCCCCACAGCACTATCCCTCCCACTATCAACAGTAAGGACAGTAAACAGACCCCACCCAAAGGAGCAGACACTTGATCAAAAAAACAAACCTAGCTGGCAGAGGAGTTGCCCCTCCCCAAACACCATCACACACAAGCCCCTGTCCATATTCTGTATTACCTGAGCCCTTAGGTGGGCAAGCTTGAACGCTGGCCCCCTCTTCCTCCTCTTCATCTTCTTCCTCCTCCTCCTCAGCCCCCTGGGCCCCCAGGCTCTCAGCCTCACCACAGGCCCCCAGCCCCAGATGGGCATCCCAGCTGTTGCTGATGACTTCCTTCTCCCGGGGACTCCAATGGAGGGAGTAGGGGTGCTTCTGGCGGATGTGCCTCTTGATGGTGCTGAGCTTGAGGGTGGCCAGGGAGCTGCCGCAGACCATACACACCATGCCATGCCGGGAAGGGATGAAATCCATCAGGTACTCCAGCCGCCAGTGGTCGTGGTAGTAGCGCCGGTGGTCCCTGCCAGGGATTCGACTCTTTCCAGGCCTCGAGGCCCGAGCCTCACAATGATCTGAGTATTTCCTGCCTGAAGATGCTGGGCCCCTGGCCCTGGAGGAGGGTAGCGGGGTACTCCCCCAGGACCCCAAGGCACCCCCTTCCAGCTGAAGAGCTTGTCCTGAAGAAGGGAAAAGGGAGACAGGTTCTCAATCTCCGGTTTCCAGGGAAAGGATGAAGAGCTTTAATTTGGAAGCATGAGAGGGGGGGTTAGGGCAAGGAAGCATTGGCAGGAGCAATGAAAAGGGAAGTGGGTGATGAGGGACCCAGTGCGAGAGATCAAGAACAAAAGGACCTGGGTACTGTGGGAGCTCTCTGCAGACTTTAAAAGGAAGGTGAAGGCCAAGGTGGATGTCAATCTACAGGGGCATAGGGAGGGATAAAGCCAGGACAGCAGCAGGCTGGACAGTTACAGCCAGAGTGGAGCAAGCCGTAGGGAGAGAGGAACAAAGGGGGTAGCTGGCTCTATACCCAGATCTGTGCACAAGACTCACCCACCCGGGGCCCCACCAGGAGGGCCCCAACCAAAAATTATCTCCCCTTTTCCAATAACGCCTCAAATAAGCTGTCCTATAAATACCAGTTTAGGGATGGGGTGTGAGCTCTCAGGTCTTCCACTAAGGGACACCTAAGGCACAGCTGTCAACATATCCAGGGAAAGAAGGGCTCCCCCAGAATCTGGGAGGCCCAATAACCCTGAAAAGGGAAAGCGGGAGGGCCACCACAGTGACTACTGAACGTGCTGAAGACCGGGGAGCAGCCTCCACCCATCCAACACATGAAGTCTTCCAGGCATTTATCTCATTTGTGCTAGCAGGGACTTGGCTACTGCCCTGCCATTGGAAGGGGGGGCACTTCTGGGCCCCGCCAACCCATTAGTGTTCCCTCCCTTGCCGGAGAAGACGACACCCTGCCGTGCTGGCTGACCATTTATTTTATTTAGAAAATGGTCTCCTGGCCACAAAGGCTAAACAAGCAGGTTCTGGTCACTCTCTCAGTCCAGAATTCCAGGGTCAGACAAATAAAAGACAGGATCAGAGAGGGCTCCTGTCCCTGCCTGGAGTTTCCTTTTTTTTTTTTTTTTTTTTTTTTTTTTAAATTGAAGCACAAAAAAAAAAAAGAAAAAAAAAAAAACACACTAGATCCAAGATCAGGCTTCACTGGTGACTTGCTAAGTGACCTTAGGTAGGTCACATCCGCTCTCTGGGCCTAAGCGCCTTTGTCTGCAAACGCACTGACTGGAGAGCTAGCGTCCTACTAAGCAACCTTCCAGTGCAGAAACCACGTAGCGTCTACGGCAGACCGGCCCTTTAAGAGCAGAAGGAAAAAAAGAAAGAAAGAAAGAAAGAAAAAGGAGGAGCAGAGATTCTTTAAAAACAAAAGGGAATGTGGGGCTTAAAGAGAGAGGAGCCCAGCGAGTAGGGAACAGTCTTCCTAGTCAGGATGGAGCCTCCAATGATCTAAAGGCAATGAACTCAGCAGTACAGAGACAAAAAAGCAGTTGGCTTTGAGGGCCAACTAGTACAGCTGACAAACGGGGGCCAAAATAAATTCTGCACGCGACAGCGCACTGGCAGGAGGGGACATCCACCTTCGTATGCGAACCCATCCCTTAAGACCTTCCCGATGTAGGGGACCACAGAGGTGGTCCCCAGGGCGCGGGCTGTGCTTTTCTTTTCCCCTTAGCGCAAACAGTGAAGGGAAGAGTTCCCGTCTCCAGCAAGGCCACGCAGGAAAGGGACGGCTCACCCGAGAAACAGCGGAATCCCGAGCTATGCTACTCTGGGGAAAGCCTCAGAAGGGGACGGAGGTGGGTGGTGGGGGTGAGCGGGGTGGGCAGCCTTTGAAAAGAAAGACCACTTGGAGTGTGAAAGAGAAAGGGCGGGAGCTGCAAGTTCCAGCGCCTCGACCCCGGTGTCGTTGGCCCCTCCAAAGCGGGCGCCGTGGGGCCCTTTAAGGAGCAGGGATCCGCCCCAGCCCGGCGGGCAGACCCCGCTACGGGCGGGGGGCGCCCCGCGGGCCTTGCAGCCGCGCTCTGCGCCCACCAGGTGGCGCCCCCCGCCGCCCTGCGCTCGTCCCCCGCTTTGTTCGGCGGCCGAGAGGGGCCCGGAGCCGCAGCCCTCCCCTCCCCCACGCCGGGGCCCCCCTACCCCGGGCCGTCGGCCCCAGCTCTTACCGCCGTCGTCCTCCTCGGGCTCCGCGCCGCCGCTCGCTGCGGTGGGAGGCAGCCGTCGGCCCCGTGCCGAGGCCACTGCGGGCCCGGGGCCGCCCCTGCCGCCGCCGCTCCGGCTCCGGT